GGAACTCACTTGGTAGCCCAGGCTGGCCTCGAACTCACAGAGATCCGCCTGGCTCTGCCTCCCGAGTGCTGGGATTAAAGGCATGCGCCACCACCGCCCGCCCTCAAGTTGTCTGATCTCATAGGATTGTCTAAGAATATCCACTTATTGATAAACCTGGCATAGTTTTCTTCCTCCCCTTCAGAGCAAGAAGAAAGGCAAGTTGTGATTAATTCTGTATATGATATATAGAGGCATAGTTCTCTATGGCAAAATAAAGTATCAGATCTACTACCTAATGTAAATTGAGCTGCGTCCCCAGCCCTCTGTGTACACCGGACAGTCTGTGTTTGTACCTGTCCTGTGGTCACTGTTTAGTCATTACCTGTCTTGTTTCCCTGAGTAAGGAGTGGCTCCAGTGGTTTGGAAAGTCTGCTTCTAGAAGAGCTACTGTTTATATGTGATTATTCTTCTGCCTTTTGATCATTCTGGGCTCTTTCCTTGCTAGCACTCGTGTTGAGAGTGGATTAAAATTCAGTTGGGAGAGCATACTGGATCAGGACCATTTCATTAGTTAACATGAAAGACTTTAATTGCACCAATATGCTTGCTGGAGCCTGGATTCTTTAAAAACTGTGCTTGCAGAAGAAGGCGTGGCTGTTAATACTAACTGTCTGGCCTCATCATCAATGGGTTTTCATAGTGCTTGCCACCGCGCTGGGTCCATCGTGTCTGTTTAATGCCAACTCGGCTGGAGAACCCCCACCCCCCAGACAGCGAGGTCCATTCCTTGTCATCTTTTCACTTGATGTTATCCCTGTGGCTAGCAGGGGTTGAACAAACAGGATTCTCATTTGCCATTTTGATTTCAAAATAGCTTCTACTAGCTGGGTATGTGTAATCTTAGCACTAAGGAAGCTGAAACTGGAGGATTGTTAGTTTAAGGCTGGCCAGCCTGGGTTACATAGTGAGACACTTTCTCACAACAATAAATAACAACAAAACAAATCATCTTATTCTTGGGGGGTAGGGAGGAGAGTGGGTCGTGATCTCAGTGTGGTAGCATCATAGAAAATGCATTTTCATAGAACATGCGGGGTTTCCCAGAATTCCTAAAAAAACTAATTTCAATACTACTAGTAGTAAAATAGCCATTCCAGCCACATCGTTACTCTTTACCCATTCCAGCTTCTGGTGATCAATGATACAGAATAGTTATCATGTGCCCAAACATGTTAAGCTGTTAGTAAGTCCCTGATGACCTATGTGGAGAAAAGTGGGTCAGAAATAGAAGTTCAGGAGGGCTGGAGACCAGTGGAACTGGAGAATGCATTTAATGCGACCCTCAGCATTGTCAGGGTTACCTCAACTTTCAGGGTTCTAATGCAATAGCCACTGGACTGGATTTGCCCCCCCCCCCCCAGGCCTTTCCTGGTATTTCAGTCCCAGGATTCTGTAAACTATCTTGGAGATTTTAGCATCAGCGTGAAGTAATTAAATGATGAAGAAGAAATTGAAATGAGAGAATCATTTATAGGGCTATGGTTCTGCTCGGGAATCCACAGAACTGTAGCTGATTTACCAAGAATCACTTTGTGTACGAATGATAACTGATAACCATTTAGGCCATTGTCTCTGAAGTTTCGGGGATTGAGTCTTTTGCTCTTCAGCCATTCTTTAAAAAAAAACTGAGCACGTGTGATGCTATGAATGTAAACAAAGTTTAACATGAAGTTGATTTCAGTTTATTAGATCATTAAACTTTTATTGTGAACCAGTAAAGCTTTAAAAATAGAAAGAGAAAAAAAAGGAAGGTTACCAGATGGCCAGATAACAGGAATAGTCTGTTTCAGCCATGTCTGTCATGAACATTTACATGAGAAGGACTTGGGGTTGTGATGCTACAGCCACAGTTCTCTCCCAGCTGGTCAGTGGCGCGAACTTCTCAGTCGCCTCAGCAGGAGGTTAAAGGTCAGCTCATGGAGGGGCAAGAAGCCAGAGCTTTCCACTGGAGAGCTGCACCACTGCTTTTGGCAATGGTGATGTAAAATTGCTGAGAGTCAAATCTTGCTTGCCGCACTGACATTCCCCACCACAGATTCATAACTGAAAAAATAAAAGTAAACTTAAGACCTCAAAGTACCCCTGCTTTCTCACTTTGCCCCCCTTATTTTCATAGAGCTTTTCTTTAGGCCCTTACTATTTCTCTTTCAAAAGGGTCATGTATGTGAGCCAGTATGAGCCAGTTCTAGCCAACCTACATAACGATTCTATTGTCTTCCATACTTAATAGATTGTTGAAGGTGGGCAAGGCCTGGAATATCTCTTGTTACCCACCAACCTCCTGAGAATGACTGCCATTCATTGGCAGTGATCCCCTGTGCCCTCTCTCTGGGTAAACTGAGACAGTTCATAGCCATAGCAGTCCTAATGGTCCTGCCCGAGGTTATTGGGACAATATTAAGATATAGCTCGGTGGGAGAACATTTCCTTAGCATGTGCAAAAGCCCTGGGTTCCCTCCCCGGCCAGTCGGTCGGCCCATGAGTCCATCTCGGGGAATCTTACTGCCTCTGTTTCTCTGCTGTGCAGATTCGCCTCGTCACTTCTGGTGGTATCATCTGGTCTGCTGGCTGCTGAGTGCTGCTGGGATCATCTGCATTCTTGTGGCACATGAACACTATACCGTCGACGTGATCATTGCCTACTACATCACAACACGGCTCTTTTGGTGGTACCATTCCATGGCCAATGAAAAGGTGAGAGCAGTGAAGACCCTTGGGTGAGGAGTGTCCGCTGTGTGCCGGGGACCCACTTCCGTAGATGGGGGTTTTAGAGCAGTGAAGACCTTGGGTGAGGAGTGCCCGCTGTGTGCCGGGGACCTACTTCCGTAGATGGGGGGTTTAGATAGCTGCATGGGAAGGACTGTTGTTACCACCCAGATACACGGTTTGATCAGTCCAGCTAAACTTACTGTCAGAGCTGCTTATTTTAAAAAGTAACCGTGAAAGAAGGTTAAGGACACTGTAAAATCGTTGACAGCCTGTTTTGCCAATTCAGCTGATTTGTACTAGGTTTGAAGGACTATGTACTCCAACTGAAAACCTAGGAACCTTTTCTGTAGAGCATTATGGCACAGCTTGGTGAGAGATGTTCCCTGCCTTGTTGACTATATTTTGGGGTGATCAGCACCTCTATCTTCCTTTCTTCCTGTTCCAGGATGACCCCCATTCGGTGTTTGTTTTGTTTGTTTGTTTTTGTTTTTGTTTTTTGGTTTCTTCGAGACAGGGTTTCTCTATGTAGCTTTGGAGCCATCCTGGAACTCATTCTGTAGACCAGGCTGGCTTTGAACCCACAGAGATTCGCCTGCCTCTGCCTCCCAAGTGCTAGGATTAAAAACGTGTGCCACCACCGCCTGGCATGATGACCCCCATTCTTATTCCATTCACTCTGTTAGTGCTTGCTCAAATGCCACCCTCTTACCTCCATCCTGGGAAGCTTCCCATTTCTCTTGTTCTCTCCCTTTGGGGACAAGGTTGCCTAACCCCCATGACCCACCCAGGCTTTTCTAACCTTGGTAATGTTCTTGCTGTAATACGGTTGGTCTGTGTATCATTACTGATTTATCTTGGAATAGATTACCCCATGTTGCTGTACTGTGTGTGTGTGTGTGTGTGTGTGTGTGTGTGTGTGTGTGGTGTACATGTGCATAAAATCTATAAGCAACTGGCTTGTCATTGCTGAACAATCTATTCAGAGCTCGTGGTGTCCACAAATAATTGTTTTCTATGGGTCCATTTATTTGGCTCTGCTGCCCAGTCGCTAGCTAACTCTGTAGTCCTCTGCTGAGGGATGTCGTTCTATATGCTGTGAATACGTGTTGCTCTGGTTGGTTGATAAATAAAGCCTATTTGGCCTATGGCAAGGCAGCTTAGAGGCAGGCAGAAAATCCAGGAAAGAGACAGCAAAAAGAAAGACAGAAGCGGAAGAGATGCCATCCTGCTGTCCAGGGAGCAGAATGTAATGATACATAGGTAAAGCCACGGAACACATGGCGACATATAGATTAATAGAAATTGGCTGAGTTTAGTTATAAGAGCTAGCTAGCCAGAAAATTGAGCCATTGGCCATGCAATTCGTAATTGATATAAAAGCCCTTGTGTGTTTTCTTGGGTCTGAGCGACTGCAGGACCGGACAGGATACAGGAAAACTTCCAGCTACATTAGGTGCCCAACATGGGGCACAAATCCACAACCCTGGGATTCAGAGTCCCATGCTTTACTGACTGAGCCAGTGTAGTCCTCTGCTGTCTTTACCTTCTTACGTGCTGATCTAGATGCTTCCAGACACCTAAACCAAAACCTCCATTTTTCTTCTTGATTATGTTCAGCCTTCCGAGTTTTCCTTTCACTCCTCCTTGGCCCTTATATCTGACCACAACACATCCTGAAAATACTTCTCTTGAATGCCCTCCACGCCTATTCCTGAGCCTCCTCCTTAGAGAACTGCAGGCCGAGGTCTCATGAGCCACAGAGGGCAGGACATGGGGACCAAGGTCAAGGCAGAGCTGGGGAAAAGGCAGGACAGCAGTTAGTGCCATGGGTTTTCACTTCTGTTACGAAATAATCAATGCCATTTAATTGAGAAGTCTCGGCTGCAGTCATAAACAATGCCTCCTTTTATTTTCCCCACCCTTAACAGAACTTGAAGGTCTCTTCCCAGACGAATTTCTTGTCTCGGGCGTGGTGGTTCCCCATCTTCTATTTTTTTGAGAAGAACGTACAAGGCTCCATTCCCTGCTGCTTCTCCTGGCCGCTGTCCTGGCCCCCTGGCTGCTTCAAGTCATCATGCAAAAAGTATTCACGGGTCCAGAAGATCGGGGAGGACAATGAGAAGTCGACGTGAGCCGTGCCAACCCGGCAGCAGCTTTTCTACCAGGAGAGTCCGTGCTATAACCAAAGACGCAGCTTCATGTTTATTTTCAGAGTACTGACTGGTGAATGACGTGGACCAAATTTTGTGCGAAAGATCGGAACAACGAATGAAGTATTACCTTTTGGCTTTTTTTTTTTTTTAAATTCATCCCAAGAAACGTATATTTTCCTGCAGCTCTTCACTCGTGGGTGACGGAGTCCCCCAAACTGGGATTTTAAAGAGGTGGCAAAGAACACACTGTGCCTCTCCTCATTCTTCCTCCACTTGCACATTCTTTCCAGGTTTTGTTTTTCCCTTCAAGGTCAGAAGAGTTTGCTAATGTTTTGAATAAAATGTCTGGATATGTACAGCCATGGTGTGAATCCAGGCAGTGATGGTGGGAGCGGGTTTCCACCTCACAGCTCACGGAGGGCATGCCACAGGTGGGTCCGGGTCAAGTGCACTTTGCCCCGTCTGGGGGAAGCTGGGGTGCTGTCTGGGATTTGCTTTGCTGCTACCCCCCCCCCCCAATGCACTATGTATGACTTTTCCTCTTTTTTTAACTTTTACCTGATAATTTTATTTTTAAAGAAGGGGTGTTCCCAGGGGCGTGAGTGACACACCCATGGATTTTTCACTTTCAAGTCTCTATGACAGATACACAGGAAGCATGGGGCATTTCTGCTGTCCACGTTAGAGGCTGCCTGCCTGGAGCCCAGGGCTGTTAACCGCACTAGCACAGGCTGTAAACACACATGCGAAGTGATGTTCACACTCATGGGGGGCACAAGCGTGCTCCCCTTCTAGCTTGGGCCCTGCTGTGATGTGCTTCTGATTGGAACCTAGAGAAAGGTTTGGGCACATTCCATTAAAACAATTCCTTCTTCGTTAATACTGTGCTTTGCAGGAAATGCAAGATGGATCCCAACGGTTTACTGTTTCCTTGCCTTTTAGCAGGGCACTTCTCTCTCTAAGTGCTCCAAAGGGCGCACACCACCACTGGGCAATTTGACTTCCACCCTGTGAACATGACACGTGGTGCTGCACTTACCCTCACCTACAACTACATAGGAGCAGGGAGCTAGGCTTGGGGGCGCATGCCTTTAGTGCCAGCACTCGGGAGGCAGAGGCAGGCGGATCTCTGTGAGTTCGAGTCCAGCCTGGTCTACAGAGTGAGTTCCAAGACAGCCAATGCTGTTACACAGAGAAACCCTGTCTCAAAACAACCCACCACCACCACCACCACCCCAAAAAAGAACAGGGGACAGCTATGTCTAATATTGAACAGATTTTAAAAATCTGGTGGGTTTAAGAATATCTGATTTAATGTGTCACTCAGTGTTAGTGCTTCTTTGCATAATCCCGCCTTGATTTCTTAACTACTGGAAGATTAGCTTGTGAAACTTCCAGTTAACGGTGGAAACCGTTCTCCGGCTACACACTTGTCAGCATGGGAGCAGAGGGAAGTGAAGCAGGGTGGTAGGGGCGGTCGCATTCACACCGATGAAATGGGATGGAGAACATCCTCGGGTTTATCCTTATAAGCTAGTTGGCCTCGAGTATTCAGAATTAAACTTTCACTTGCTTGGGGGAAAAAAGCACAATACAGATTTGTTCAGAAGGGCCATTGCCCTCTGGTGCTAAAATTCTGTGTATGTGTCCAGAATGTCTGTTTTTCTGTGCTACTAGGAAGGTAAAGGAAAGGGCTCTGGATTCAAAGGCAAGAGAGTAAGATTCTCAAATCTGGCTATCTTCACTAGAGTGGGAAAGAAAGAAAGAAAATAAGTGAGGGAGATGTCCAAGTTTCAAGATGTGAAAGAAGACCAAAATTCATTTCAATGTAGGAAAGCAAATTGGAGACTCAATTTAACATGCCATTTGGGATATAAAATGTAGACAGTTACGATGCTGCCTTTGAAACAGTAATTTTATGTTTGAGATGGTCTCATCTCACTGTGTAGCCCAGATGGACTTCCCATTTCAATCCTCCTGCTTCAGCTTCCAGAGTGCTGGGATTGCAAGTGTGTGCCCCCATGCCTACCCAGCCAAAGTGGTGAATTATTGCAGCACCTTTTCTTTGCCAATTAAGATGCAGATCTTGCCAGGCGGTGGTGGCGGCACATGCCTTTAATCCCAGCACTTAGGAGGTAGAGGCAGGTGGATCTCTGTGAGTTCAAGGCCAGCCAGGTCTATAAAGCAAGTTCCAAGACAGGCTACAAAACTGCACAGAGAAAGAAACCCTGTCTCAAAAAAACAAACAAACAAACAAACAAAAAAGATGCAGATCTCACCTATTACCTGTGTTTTTGTGAGCCCATGCTTTTGGCTTTCCTGTAATATAGCACTTCTGGAAAATGCCAGTAATATATAATACACATACAACATGTTACATGTTTTTCCTGAAGCTTACCAATGGAAATGGAGTTCTTTCAAACTTCATTTTTTGAGCTTCTCCACTAGATCCGAAAAAGGAAGCATCCTTCCCCCAGTCCCTCCTGGGCTAATTGTGGCTGTTCTTTGAGTTACTGGCAGCTCATGAAGCAGGCTTTACTGAGACAGAAGGCTGGCTGAGAGTCAGCTCATGAAATCTCTGGGCAGGTTTGTGGCCGTGGAGTCTTTCTTCGCTGTGTGTCCAGTGCCTCCTAGTGGCAGTATGTCATGTCTGGAATACAAATGCTACTTTAAAAATATGTTTCCAATGTTTCTGCAAAGTTTCTCGGGTTTTTTTGCCTTTTCGTTGTTCAATATTTTTTTTTTGCCAAAATTTCAAAATTCTCATGGAAAAGAAGGTATTTTAAAAACATTGTAAATCCTTCTCAAAGGGAAAGCACTCAGAATCTGATCAAAGAGAATTTGCAGGTTGTTTTACCTCTTGTATCACAATCATTAATGTCTAGTCTATAACTACCGGACTGTGTTTACTTCAGAACCCGAAGTCAGCTGTCTTTTTTTATTTATGTATGGAACTCACTTCATTTTTAATTAAAAGTTCATATCTTGTTCCATAAATATTTTAAACTTTTTGATATTGTTTTGGTTTTGTACTATAAAACCGATTAAAAATTTAAGCTGGTCTTAACACATTCACCACTGTAGTGTAAGGTATGAGAAGGAATCTTTTAATAAATGAGTTTACACGTCTTAATCAAGTATAAGTTATATGTATTGTGTTGGAGCCTTTTCTATGTTTATGTGTGAGGATTTCTGATATTGTTTTTAATGCCATTGTTGCAATAATTTAGCCCCTTTGACTCATATGACAAAATACATTTTATGAAGAAGTGCTCTTGAATTCGATATCCATGTACTGAAAATCATGTCAGAGGTACCCAAAGATAAGTTTTTATACAGATAGACGCCTCATAAGTGCTGGTTTATTACTCATTAATATTACTGTACTGTGTTCTTAGGGGATCATGAATGGCAAGGGTGGGTCCCTGTAGAATTATTTTAAACTAGCCTTTAAAAGAAAGAAGAGAAACTGTAAGCTAATCTAGTTGCCAAGTGTAATTCATTTTTAATTTACCTCCCGTGCACTTCATGCTGCGAACTGTATGGTTAGTAAGTTACAGTGTATCCGCACACGGAATCTCTTCCGAGCTCGAGAGGCAGAACCGTATGGTTAGTAAGTTACAGTGTATCTGCACACGGAATCTCTTCCGAGCTCGAGAGGCAGCCTGTTGCATTCTTTTGGAAATTTACTATCCTGTTTCCATGTGTTAAGTGCCTTGTTGTGAAGTAAGATTTAAGTCTAGAATTCATTATTTTCCTGACCTCTATTTTTCATTATGATTATCTACTGTGTGCTGTTGTGATCATTTTATTAAATGCTTACATTTTAATCAAATATATGTATTTCAGTCTCTTCTATCCACTACTATCTTTTACATTTTAAAAAGTTACTGTTGTGTGAGTGTGAGTGAGGGGCGGGGGGAGTGTATGTGTGTATGTGTATGAGTGAGTGGGGGGGTGAGTGTGTTGGGGAATGAGTGTGTGTGTATGAGTGAGTGGGTGGGTGCGGGTGAGAGTGTGTGTGTATGAGTGAGTGTGTGTGTATGTGTGGGTGTGGGTGGGTGAGTGTGTGTGTGAGTAAGTGAGTGTGTGTAGGTCAGAGGACAACTTTGTGGAGTCCGCTCTGTCCTCCCACCTCTGTGATTTTTGGGGATCAAGCCCAAGCCAGCAGGCTTACACAACATGCACCTTTAACCCCGAAGCCTGCTCCTAGGCTCTTAATCACTCATCTGTCACGTGGGATTTAAGCTGAAGTTCTGTATTCATTGTCGGTTTATTTTAAGAGAATTCTTTCTGTTTAGAAATGTACTTTCTATGCATGTGAAAACATTCTGGGAGGGATGTAGGAATATGACTTCAGTTGATATTTACCTTTTAAGTGCCTGTTTGGCAGGGAAAACTAATTTTTGTTCCTGCTCAGAAGAGGAGATGTGTACTTGGTTTCTGACCTACAGATGCCTAAAGCTGTATTTGCCTAATAAATACAGTGACATCAGCAGCCTCTCAAAAGACATAACAGTGTTCCTTTCCATTCGGAAGACTTGTTCTTCCAACGCTTTTTAAAATGAGTTACTTAAAGGAACTGTAAGTAAACTAAAGCTTATTATTTTTCTACCCATAGATATTTTTTTTTAATTTTTTTAACTTTATTTAATATGCATTGGTGTTTTGCATGCATGCATGTGTAAGGATGTCAGATCCCCTGGAACTGGAGTTACAGACAGTTGTGAGCTGCCATGGGGGTGCTGGGAATTGAACCCGGGTCTGAAAGAATTCGGTACTCTTAACTCCTGAGCCATCTCTCCAGCCCCTCCTACCCATAGATTTAAGGTTAAAAAAAAAATTAGATCGGTCATGAGTGAAAAAAAATCAGTCATACACTCCAAGATTCACAGAAACAAACTCACTAGTCTCCAAAGACAAGGAGAGTCCTTTCTGTCCCCCCAGTTCTGATGGAAGTGTCACATCGGGGCCCCAGGGTAATGACCTCAACTGGACTGCCTAGCCATTTCCAAGGCAGGTTTCAGAAGGTTGTTTTTGGACTCTGATGAAGATGAAAGAAAAGTTAGTAAAAACAGTCCAGAGGATGAGGTGGGGCTCGGAAAGACAGTAAGTCTCAGAGATGGAGTTGTTGGATGTAGTGCAGACTTTCTCCCTGGGCTGCCTGGAAGTGATGATGAACAACAGTCCTCAGAGGAGGTGTGCCACGTCTGCCAGGGTGGCTGGAAAGCTCATCCCAGTGATGGCCACCCTGTTTGGAACACTGGCAAGATGCTGTGGCAGCCTCAGCTGCAGTCTGTGCTTATCTAGAATGTGTGACACGAGAAGGTGATGAGAATTTTTGTCCGTTGCACTGGGCGAGACAGGAGCTCCCACTTACAGGCTGATTGGTTCTTTTGTTTTCTTTGTAGGAAGCTCCTGGTGGGCTTCCTGTGGGGGCATCAAGGTCTCCCAGTGCTTTCAGAAGTGCTCATGGAAGTGAACTGTTCTGGACCCACAGTTCTCTTCTTAAGCTGCCTCTGCTAAGGTGCCAAGAGGCAGTTCACATGCCAGAACTGTGTGCAAGGCTCCTGAGCAATAGCACAAACTTAAAATGAAGATGAAAGTGGTCGTAGGAAAATTGGTTGTCATCCGTGCTGGGTGAGTGGCTTCTATTTCAGCTACTGATTTTAGAGTCAGGATGTAGTATTGTGCCTAATAGTCCTGGCTTCAGGATCACACACAACCATGGATGAAAGGCTCAGCTAGTGTCCCTGGCAAGCTGGTACAACCCAGCCCCACCACCTTGGGAAATAGGGCAGTATCATCTCTGTAGTCAGAAGGTTTCTCTGGTCCCGCCAGGCCCCACAGTCCCATGGCCTACTTACAAAATAATCACTCAGAAGCTTATATTAATTATAACTGCTTGGCCATTAGCTCAGGCTTATTACTGACTAGCTCTTACACTTAAATTAACTCATAATTCAGCCGGGCGGTGGTGGCGTACGCCTTTAATCCCAGCACTCGGGAGGCAGAGCCAGGCGGATCGCTGTGAGTTCGAGGCCAGCCTGGGCTACCAAGTGAGTCCCAGGAAAGGCGCAAAGCTACACAGAGAAACCCTGTCTCGAAAAAACAAAAACAAAACAAAAAAAATTAACTCATAATTCTTATCGATGTTTAGCCACGTGGCTTGGTACCTTTTCTCAGTTCTGCCTTGACTTCTTGCTTCCTCTGTGTCTGCCTGGTGACTCTTTACTCAGCCCTTCCTCTTCCCAGAATTCTCTTCATCTGCTCACCCCACCTATACTTCCTGCCTGGCTACTGGCCAATCAGCATTTTATTTATCAACCAATCAGAGCAACACATATTCACAGGATACAGAACGACATCCCACAGCACATCTCTATGCCTATTTTGTTTTTTTATTTTTTGAGACAGTGTTTCTCTGTGTAGCTCTGGCCATCCTGGAACTCACTCTGTAAACCAGACTAGCCTTGAACTGAGAGATGCACCTGCCTCTGCCTACAGAGTGCTGGGATTAAAGGCATGCACCATCACTGCCCGGCTTTCTCTATACGTATTTTAACAATGGGCTCAGCTCCAGAGTGTTCTCTTCAGAGATCATAGTCTTGCAAAGAGCCTTCATTGGCTCCAGATGATAATGCCATTCTGTTTGGAGGCGACTAAAAGTTGTGTTGACATTCAACTTTGACATTTTTATTTATCTCTGGAGCGACAGGAAAACAGCAAAGTAAGCCTTGTTCACCAGGTCCCCGAGGGCCAGCCTGTGCCATACACCAGAGCTGCTGACAGATCAAGCTCTGCCAGCAAGATGCACTGCAAACTCACCCATAATGCTCTGGTGGTTTGGAGGAGATCTTGGGCATTTGAATACGTGGTGAGGATTAAGAGGTGTGGCCTTGTCGGTGGAAGCACGGCACTGGGGTGGGCTTTGAGAGTTGGAGATGCACCGTTTCTAGTTTACTCTCTGCTGCATACTTGTGGCTCAAGATGAGCCCTCCGCTTCCTGTTCCTGTACCATACCTGCCGCTTGCTGCCCTACCTCCCTCTAATGGCAGGCTCTTACCTCTCTGGAACCAGAAACCCAAACACATCCTTTCTTCTCTAAGCTGCCTTGGTCATGGTATTTTATCACAGCAGCAAAAAGAACTAATACAGCTGCTAAGTCACATATTGAGAAGTTCATATCACTAACTGGGGTCCAGGAAACAGGGAGGCAATCACTTCCTTGGGTAGATTGTCACTTGATTTTACTATTGCTTCCTTTCTAACATTTTAGCAGAACTTCAGTTTCATCCCAATGCATCCTGCCATGGGCCCTCAGCATCCCTCTTAGCTTATGTTTAGTGGGCATGTCAGAGATGCAAGGCCACAGTTCAGAGTTACTCAGTGGCGATGCACACAACACCTATGTGGCATCCATCTTAACTTCCTCATCGTCCTCCACCATGGAGGTTGGGACACCAGGGAGTCCGAAGCAGCCATGCTGTGACTTTGGCTGCTGCAGTGCCCATGTACTATAGGGCCCTTGGTCTCTGACCCGGGAGTCCACACTAACTTGTTGGCTTTTTACGAGGTCTTAGCTGCTTCACCAACATGACAGTTAGCACTTCCTTTACTTCTAATAAAGCACATAAAAAAATAAGAAGCATAAAACTTGCATTGCTACCTGGGAAGAATAATGGATTTCACACTGTAAGACGAATGGTCTTATAAAGGAAATAACCGGAGCCAGGTATTGGGGTGAAAGCTGAAGGATCAGAGAAGCAGAACAAGCCACATCCAACCTCACCTTGCCAGCTCCTCAGCCGATCTTATTTCCTCAAATGAGTCGTCATCCAAATGGATCTCAGCTGAAAGCCTAAAAGCTCTAGTTCCTGGTCCTCATGCCTTATATACCTTTCTGCTTCTTGCCATCACTTCCTGAGATTAAAGGCCTGTGTCAGTCACCATGCCTGGCTGTTTCCAGTGTGGCCTTGAACTCACAGAGATCCGAATGGATCTCTGCCTTCAGAATGCTAGGATTAAAGTGTGTGCTACCATTGCCTAACCTCTATGTTTAATATAGTGGCTGTTCTGTTCTCTGACCCCCAGATAAGTTTATTGGTGTGCACAATATATCAACCACAGCACACCACTCTGCATACCTATAAAGTGAACATTTAATTCAAATGTGGCATGTAGTAAGGCATAGCACTTTATATACAGTCTTTGGTATACATTCTTTAGGTTCCCCCAAACAGTGATGTAAGAAAGTCAAGGAAGAGGGGGTAACCAAGTTTCATGAGATGAGAAGGTTCCTAAGTGTTGCAGATAGTCCTGGAGTTTTGTCTCCGCTGACTGACTTTTGCTACCTTCCTGTCATAGTTCCAAGACCTCAATCACAGCTTGTTTATTAAAGTCGCATCTGTCTCCATTTCAAAAGGAGAGACTTGGCTTCTTGTGCAAAATGACCTTAAACTCAAGAGAACCCTCACATGTTCGCGCTCACAGGGCTGTTAAGAATAAAGCACTTGTCAGCTCAGCCCCGACAGAAATTCAAATTGTAAAGGCTCCTCTACCTGCTGTTTCCACATTTTTTTTTTTTTTTTTTTTGGTTTTTCGAGACAGGGTTTCTCTGTGTAGCTTTGTGCCTTTCCTGGAACTCACTTGATACCCCAGGCTGGCCTTGAACTCACAGAGATCCGCCTGGCTCTGCCTCCCGAGTGCTGGGATTAAAGGCGTGCGCCACCACCGCCCGGCTGTTTCCACATTTTTTTAGACACCAATCTGATACATGGGTTGTATCCACTATATCTTTCCAGAAACTTTTAGAAAAGTGAGAAATTCCTAGAG